CCGCCCCTCACCCCCCCTCGTTTCTCCTGAGTTAGAATCCCCATAGCCTTCCTACTTATTTGTATGTACTACGATGGAGTCGCAAAATGAAGAACTATCGACGAAGTCCACTGAGAATTCGTTAGAACAACTATTAGATGAGAATGAAGACGTGTTCGATGAAACGGGTATGGGTTCTATAATCGATTTAATATATCAGACGTGGATTACAAATACGTTTGTTAAAAATGTAAGAATGATGATTGGATGCATACAAACGTATATGATGAAGCAGCGAAAAATAGATCCGAATACGATACGTATGAGGGAGGCAAAGACAATGAAAGATGCATTACTGTCATTTTTGGAATCGTTGAAGACGAGAGGTTTGTTGAATTCTATGTATTCTATGGAAGAGTTGAATCGTTTCTTCTCTACTCTCGAGAGCAAAGTGTTGCTAAATTTGTTTATGGAAGATTTCATGACAAAAAATACATTCTTCGAATGGTTGCACGATCTGAAGGAGTATGTTAGATGTCACATGGCGATACTTAGCGATGCATCGAATATCGATTGTGAGATTTTTACATCGTCAGCAGAAGTGAAATCTGGAGGTATAAACGCGCTTTTTGCTTCTACCTCAAAAGAGCAAACCGATGGAATATCCCAATATATTACAAAATACTGGAAAATGATCATCTGTACACCGTAGGAACTCCGAAAGGACAAACTGGACATCAGTTGATTCGTCTAGATGTGTATGATATTCACGATATTAAAAATAAGGAAAAAAATCAATGGTGGAAATATGCAAAATTGCGAACACAATTTTTTATATCTTCCCCCAGAGATCGTAAGCAGCAAATGGTGAATCAGCTTTTGGATTGTGTAGCTGACGATTTGATAAAAGTACCATCAGTAACGAAGGAAAGAAAAAATGTTTATTATTAAAAATATATATATGAGAGAGGGACAACCGTTCCACATATGATAATCACATGTTATATTCTTATCATATATCTATTCATATCTTATTTCACTTTTTTAATTGCGATTGTACCGAGAGAGAGCGAGATACACATCCTGAGTGAGACATGATAAAAGGGACGCACCACACGATTACCTCATTTAGTTTGATGTAATCGTTCGTGGTGATATATCACGACGTTCATCGTTATGGTGCCAACATTTGTCGATTTGCAAGGTATATCTCTTGTTTATTTTACAAATATGTTTAGTATTTGTTAAATCATTGTGTATGTTTTTTTCATTAAGGATTTCTCGTGGATAAGCGATTTGTTGTCAAGGAGGTAGCAGTTCTAAAGAATGGGAGCGAATTGACATACTACATTTTTACATGCTCAATGCCATGGCGTTTTCTGACGAAAGCTGATCAATCACATGCCTCATGGGTGATGACACATCATCACGGATTGCGGTGGAATAATGGGATGGTACCATATCGTACGGCGCAGCGTTTGATTTCAGAAGCTGTTGGTAGAGAAAGTAGGGCAATTGTATATGTGAAGGGATTTGAAAAAAAGGGGGTGGTTACTAGATATTTTGAACAATGATGACATTATAGTGGAAACGATCGATGCGCATTACGGTGAGATTGAATCGCTTAAAACTTTAGACGCTACCAATACGTATCGGTGTGGAAGACACAGTAAATGTTGCGCGTTACAGAATGTGTTAAAACTATTTAATCAGTGGACGCGATTTCAAAGCAAGTAATAGTATACTTTTATATCTTTATTTTATATATAAACAAGTAATACCTTTATATCTTTTTATATATACTCGATGTACGAGTATGTGCTTATTATAGCGTGCATTTTATTAAAATTAAAAGAAAAATTTAAATCGATAGATTTCTTTTCGTTACACATATCCTGAGTGTATGTATGTATGTGTAAAGATACCACATCCTTTGAATATGATAAGATGCGTCATGGTTGTCTATTTTTTATGTATATCCTTTATTTGTAATATGTATTAGATAAGATGGAGGGGGGTTCTGGTTTTTGATATTTCCGACGATGGAACGATATATAATATAACTGCGTACGGGGTAAGGTCCTTTTTACATTGAGTTTTGGAACGCTTAATATGTCAAGCGATAACATTTGAGAGTACAAACAGCTAATAACAAGTATAACGTATCTTCGTACGATCCTTCGGAACCCTCGATGTACCTCATGTACTTCGACGTGAATAATTTGTACGGTTGGGCGATGTCCGAATCCTTACCGTACGGAGAATTTCAATGGGTCGACGACATCGAGCGCTTTGACGTAATGTCTGTGTCGTCAGACTCCGTTATCGGTTATATTCTGGAAGTCGATCTTGCGTATCCACAAAGCGTTCATGACGCTCATGTTGATCTTCCATTTTGCCCCACTCGCGAACGACCTCCCGGAAAACGGAATATTAAACTGCTGGCCACTCTTTACAATAAGGAGCGCTATGTCGTGTACTATCGCAATCTGCAGCAATGTATTCATCATGGTCTCCACGTCACAAAAATTTACCGTATATTACAATTCGCCCAATCCCCATGGCTTCGCGGATATATCGAACTTAATACGAGATTTAGAATGCTCGCGAATAACGAATTCGAGAAGAATCTTTACAAATTGATGAACAATGCGGTATTTGGAAAAACGATGGAGAACGTACGCGATCATGTTGACATTCGACTTATAACGCGTTGGGATGGGAAATATGATGCGGAAGTGATGATAGCGAAACCGAATTTTCACAGTAGAAGTATTTTTTCAGAAAATCTAGTTGCTGTGGAATTGCGCAAACTCGAGGTAAAAATGAATAAACCGATATACGTAGGTATGTGCATTCTCGAAATAGCTAAGTTGCGTCTATACGAATTTCACTATGAGTACATAATACCATTGTATCGCGAATATCGCGATACATGTAAGATTTTGTACACGGACACTGACAGCTTGATTTATCTTCTGGAGTGTGAGAATGTATACGAGGACATCAAGCGTGATATCGCGAGATTCGACACAAGTGATTATCCTGAGAGAAACGTGTATGATATTCCACGCGTTAATAATAAAATACTCGGTTTGATGAAAGATGAAAATTGTGGTGCGATTATGACGGAATTCATTGGACTCGGAGCGAAGATGTACGCGTTGAGAGTGATCGGAAAGAGCGATACGAAGAGAATAAAGGGTGTCAAGAAAAACGTAGTCGCGAAAACTTTCGACAATTATGTGCGATGTTTGAACGATGTAACGGTACAGTCGAGACGTCAGTCATGCATACGATCGACATTGCACGAGGTCTACACGGTGTCTGAATTGAAGCTTGTTCTTAGTCCGTACGATGATAAGCGGTACGTCGTACCCGAATCGGTCACTACTTTACCTTGGGGACATTATAAAATACCTCTGTAATGTATTGTATTTTTTATTGTAATAAAATAAAATAAAAAGTTATAATACATCCGTTTTATCCATCCAAGAATTATGTGAACTGTCCATTCCTAACTATTTTACATACACTTTATTTCCTCGTTTGCGTAGTATTTTTTCCACGAGATAAACGTCAGGATTAGAGACTCGCTGTAATTCATATTCGTAGAATCCACCAGCTATCGGCTTCCCTTGATAATCTTTCAGTAGATACGTTGCAGGATTCGTACGTTGTGTTTTAACGATGTAGAAAATCTCGGTGGATAACCCTTTTCAAAAATTGTCTTGAATTTACTAATTCGTACTGGATCGCCTATCTTGAACCTCGTTGGAGCGGCAATTTTTACATGACTGTATACCGTTGACAAGAGTCGTTTTGCAACGGTGGATGTTACGTCTATTGGTCGCATCCCAATGGTTCGATGTTTACGATGATTATAATCTGATAATAGACGCGGTAGTTCGTCGATCCATTTGTACGAGCCGTTTAACGTGAACGTTTTCCACATGTTATTCTTGAGTGTACGGTTGAATCATTCCACCACCGACGCTTTCATCACTGAATACGTAGAATAATGATTTATGTTGTATCTCTTAACAATGTTTTTCTGCACAGTAGCGTTGTAAAATTTCTTTCCTTGATCCGTCTGCAGGTTTCGTGGGTATCGTTCGTCCTCACGAAATATTGTAGATAACGCTGCGGCCACATCGTTTCCGTTCTTGCTCTTGAGTGGTATAGCCCATGCGTATTTACTCAAAACATCGATAACTGTTAAAATGTAATTGTAACCTTTGTTGAATCGTGCGTAAGGACGCATCTCGACCACGTCGGCTTGCCATAAATCATCGCGACCGTGCACCACGACGCGACGACGTGGAAAATTTCTTTGCGCGGGTGCGTGGAGTTCTTTCACGAGTTTTCGTTTCTCGATACTCATCTCTCTCTGTTATGATAGGAAACGAGCTTTGCACGTATCTTTTGAACTTTTCTAGATGCGTTTAAATACCTAGACATCTCGTTCAGAAGTCGAATCTCGTTCTCGTTACACACATTCGTCGATATTGTTTACGCAGATCACTTACACCGTGATGCAACATCTTAATATCATCAAATATGTTTTGAAGCGCCTGCGTGAACGTATCTTTCCCTATCGTTTTAAACGATTCCTCCAATGTCTCTTTCGTCACTATATTAAGCATTTGTTGACGCAAATCAGTTACACCTCGATGAATCTCGTTGGACACTTTCATCAATAATGCATTTACACTATTTGAGACTTCCTCCACGTTGTTTCGCACTTTTTCCACATCGTTCGAGATATCTTTCTGCGTATCCCGAAGCGCGCGTACGATCATATCTCTCCCGGTCGTTTTGAACGATTTCTCCAATATCTCGTTAGTTACTACATTTTTCATTCGTGCAGTTACATCTCGAGTCAGATGTGTGACAGCGTCGGATACTTTTTTTTCCATATCACTATACACTTTTAAACTATCTTTTTGCATATCCTGAAGCGCGCGTACGATTATATTTCTTCCCGTCGTTTTAAACGATTTCTCTAACGTCTCCTTCGTCACCGTATTATTCATTTGTTGACGTAGATCAGTTACACCTCGTTGAATTTCATTAGTCTCCAACATTTCTTTCGTCGCTATATTATGCAATTGTTGACGCAGATCAGTTACACCACGCTGAATCATCTCTTTCGTCACCATATTAAGCATTTGTTGACGCAGATCAGTTACAAGGGGTGATCCCGATTGACCACGTTTCGATTGGACACCACCAATCACCGGTGCTTAGGAGCTTTGTAGTCTCAAGCGCTGCGAGTGGCTCGTGTCCAATTGAGCCGTGTCCAACTGGGTGCCACCCGTTTCGAACGTCGCTATATTACGCAATTGTTGACGCAGATCAGTTACACTACGCTGAATCTCGTTGGACACTTTCGTCGATAGCGCGCTTACATTTCTCGAGACCTCCTCCACCAGTGATGGGAGCTGGCAAGAATTTGTCTGCTCTAGGAAACTTTATGCGCATGCGTAAAATGACGTAGGAGCTCGATCTAATGACGGAGCAATACGGAATACGGGTGCTTTTGGGGCTCCTGTACATCTTAGTGACCAACCGTCCCAAATTAGACGGGGCAATCTCAAATTTTAACACTTTATCCCGCTTTACAACGCATTCCAAATTTTTTCCTAAATTAAGGTTATAGTAATGAATTGTTCCTCTTTTAACCTCTTAGATACTGTACGTCATTATAGTGGCTTTCGCGAATGCTATCTCTCTGAACGATTATATTATTTTTTTAAAACCCTTTACATAAAAATATATATAAAAATTTATTATTATTCATGAACACTGTAACGTCCGATGCGTCTACAATATAGCGCCCCGTCCGTTTACCAAGCGAGCGCGAGCACGGAATATAGCGAACTAATTCGTTGTGTGGGTATAATATGTGCCGACTATAAGCGCGTTCAGCTATAGGCCAAGCCACCGAAATCGTTGCGATCGAACGCCGCGCACACTGCGCCTGCGCCAAAGTATAAATGCTGAAAACGATGCAAGAATTCACTTTTACGAGAAAACACCATTAACACGAAGTAGGGAATAATTAAGGTAACAACCGACCTCGACGCAGCTGCAGGGAAAAACCGCAGATCTGCGGAAAGACTATAAAAACGCATAACGCCAACGCAATGCATCGCCGCGCAACCACGAATGCACCCACCAGTCACAAAAGGGCCCTGCATACGAACGAAATCATCGCAAATAAAACCAAAGCGCACACAATTCAGAAAAGGCCTTAAATAAACATCAAATTCCACGCGCACAAAGAATAGAAGGATCCAGAACGATACAAGAAACTTATGATGAAAAAACGCGCAAGAAACAAATGCAAGCCCTGCCGCAACGGGCTGCGGTACACGATAGCCAAACGCGCCAATACAAATCTCGCGACCCCCGCAGTAGGATAAAACGCGCGATCTAATTAAAACCCTATTATCATTATAATAAATCATAAATTACACAATCAGCACGTAATAGTGATTTCGCAACAGCACGTGGACAAGAACATCCCCTTGCCGCGAGGGGCCACGAAATAAACAGTATATAAAGCAGAGCGTTCAGAGACAAGCGTCCTTATTTCTTCCCCAAATCTATAACGGTAAGCACTCCTAGTGCTTTAAGTAGCGCTCCGGATTTTCCGTATTTCCCACAGAAATCCAGCCTCGATCGTGCGCCAACCACGGCGTCTGACGGGCTACCTCCTCACCTGGTTTCGACAGCGCTGTCCATAGCGACGCCGAAACTAACTTCCAGCGAAACTCTAAACGAGCGCCTTCTACGGTGTCGAGGCCTCCGCACTCCTACCCTCTCTTTCCAACCACCATACTCTCACACGTTTTTTTGGGCATAAATGCCACAGAAGAAACGTCCGCGTGGGAAGCGAGGAGGCTGGCGTTCATATGAAAAAGCTCCAGCGGGAGCTCCTCGTCGGAGGAACTTTTAAACCGTCAGAGCATTGGACGGAGGACTTCGGAGGGTCCGTGAAGGTCGCCACCGTCGCGTTGACCCCGCCGGACCGCCTCGAAGATTCCGAGTCTCCCTTAGATAGGGTCGACAACAGGGAACCAGCAAGCTCCGCACCTCCACCGCCGCGACCTGCACCCTCTCGGTCCCCATCGCACGTGGCGCCCGTCCGTAAGCCCACCAGGCCCACGCTAATTACCACCAAACCTCGCGTCATAAACCACGCATCTTGTAGCGTCAAAATTAAAATAATGAAACCTTAATCATAGATCTTTACTTCATTTCTCTGCCCTTAAGGCCCTATATCCTTCCCTGTTCCCGTACGCACTGACACCAGAGAGCGTAGATAGAGAGAAGCGAGTGATGAACATCACAGCAGCCCGAGGAGAGACATTTAAATATCTTCATAAACTCCTCGTACACTTTCGTGTATCACGGGCGCTCTATCTGACAATTCCTCTGAAGTCTCTAATATTATTCCTCCCAGTGCATAACCAGGGAACACGGAAGAATAAAAACGAGTCAAGAATAACAAGATATCTCGCTAACAGAACGATAATATCTCAATACGTGCCTATACCAAGGCACTGGAGACAGCAGCCTGCCCCACGCGTAAACACACGCCGAAAACGAAATTCGCCGAAGTTAAGGCTTCACCTTGCGCGCCTCGCCCCGCGCTCGCGCTCCCACGACTTAGTGTGACTCCTCGAGGGCGCTCCGAGAAACCAAACACGCGATTCAGGACGTCACAAACACACTATGTTTCTTTAATAAAAACTTCCTTTTCTCTCTACAATTTTCTTAACATCGTTATTAGGGGTCTTATAGTACCATACAATGTATACGTCAGTTAAGGCTGCTCAGCTTTACGCATGCGCACACAGTTTCTTAGAGCAGACGAATTCTTGCCAGCTCCCATCACTGTCCTCCACGTTGTTTCGCACTTTTTCTACATCGTTTGAGATATCTTTCTGCGTATCCCGAAGCGCGCGTACGATCATATCTGTCCCCATCGTTTCGAACGATTTCTTCAATGTCGCGTTAGTCACTACATTTTTCATTCGTACAGTTACATCTCGAGTCAAACGTTGAATCTCTTCCACGTTTCTTCGCACCTTCCCCATATCGCTCCTTATCGCTCCACATGATTCCTCGATCTCGTTTCGCGTATCTCGAAGCATGCGTTCAACGTAGCTTTTGTTTACCGCGTCGGTATCGAACTCCGGCGCGGCCACGTGTTCTATTTTTCGTTTCTTCGCGTCGTAATGATCTGGATTCAAACAAAGCCCATTGTTGTATACATAATTTCGTAAAGTTTCCATCGACGATCGCGGCTTTTCGATTTCGTCTCTCCCCATAGGCATACCAAATTTATTCACAGACATCGTATCAAGTTCGCGCGAAACTGTGGCGGTTTTCATCAAAACTATTCACTTTATAATTAAACTCAGTTTCGCTCAGTTCTTCTTTCCATTTCGCGACGCAATTGTAAAATAGTTTTTTCCAACTCTTCATTCGTCGTCATACCTTGAAGTCGTTCTTTGAACGAATTCTCCAATATCTCATTAGTCACTACATTTTTCATTTGTGCAGTTACACTTCGATTCAGATACTTAATCTCTTCCACGTTTCTTCGCATTTTCTCCATATCGTTACGCACTTCCTGTACATCTCTCCTTGTCATTCTAAACAATTCCTCGATCTCGTTTCGCGTACCTCGAAGCGTGCGTTCGACGTAGCTTTTGTTTACCGCGTCGGTGTCGAACTCCGGCGCGGCCACATGTTCTATTTTTCGTTCCTTCGCGTCGTAATGATCCGGATTCAGACAGAGCCCACTGTCGTGTACGTAATTCCGTAACGATTCTATCAACGATCGCGATTTTTCGATTTTATCGCTATCGTCTCTCCTCAGAGGCATACCAAATTTATACACAGACATCGTATCGAGTTCGCGCGAAAACTGTCACAATTTTTATTACAACGATTCAATTTATAATTAATCCAGCTTCGCGAAGTTCTTCGATTATCGACAAAATTTCATTGTCGTGAGCGTTATTATCCGCTCGACGAGAAGCATCGAGCAATTGAAGACGATCCACCAACTCGTTGGGATCGTCGCAATGAACGTAATCTATTTCATTGTCAGTCAATCTCACAGCGGATGATATATTTGTCTTTATACCTGAGCCAATACTCGTGCCACTGACACTCCTTATAATTAAGAGCGAAGCAATAATGTTTTTGTATTTGTGTCCCTTGTTACTCTAGGTATTCTAGCGTTATTGTCACGTCTGTGAGCATTCGTCGTCAATAATATATGTTTGTACGTTTGTTTATCATTCTCGGTGTAGATAGCGTCGTTTGGAATCTTCTTGAAGATCAGCTCGTATAGACCCGGTGTACCTTTGTATCTCTCTCCATCTATGATTATAGTGTCGTCCGTATTCACATCAAATTTTTTATTACCCAACATCGTGCCGTTTTCAACGAAATAAACACCGTAGACAAGATCGATTTCATTTCTCGCGTTACCAATTAAAAGAGTATTCACATATACTTGTCCTAACGGTCCTAATTGACTTTACAATCTCTGACGACCTTAAGGAGTGTTCAACGCCTGTCTGACAGACGTTTCAAGTGATGGATTATCACCGGTTTCAAAAACTTCTTCGTCCTGCGAGTTAAAAGGAATTACTTGTTTTTGTTGTTGTGATTCTATTGGTGTGGAATGAATTATGGATGAATCAGGCATGACGTTTGATCGTTTCTTATTTATTCGTTCGTTCCATGGAAGACGCTGGGGAGTAATTTGTTTTGGAATTGCATCATTATCATCATCGTCGCCGTCGTTGTCATCATCTTCCTCATCATCATTGTACTCACGTTTATTCTTTCGCTTACTCTTCATAAACTTAGTTTCAACTGGTTTACCTTCGCGTGCAGTGTTTCCAGCGATTTGTTTCAACGGTTCGATAATAGGTTTTAATTGTTTCTTCAGAACGATCTCCTTCTCCACTATACCAGTCTTCAATGCTCTGTGTTTCTTACGAATCGACGCGCGTGTCTTCGCGATCAATTTCACCGTTCTCTCCCGTTCGGAGAGACTTTTCGTTCCAACCATGGGTGCTTTCCAGCAAGGACACAATCAAACACAGTGTAACACAGTGAATCGTTTCATCCTTGTTTAACGTAAGCAAACAACAAGGACGTATGATTCACTGTGTTACACTGTGTCTGACTGTGTCCCTTGCTGGAAAGCACCCCATGTTATCGTAACGTTAAAGAAGTTTTTTTGCTCACGAGTTTTTTTTACAAAAACACTACAGATAATTTTTTTCACACTACAGCGAAATCGTTGAATCCTCGTCTATATCTACCGTTGCGTAATAGCCGTATCACACTAGCGACTCGCGGCTGCGACTGCGATTGCGACTGCGATTGCGACTTTTCCTCGACCAATCAGGAAGCAGCGACCAGCGACGGCGACTCGCGACTACTATTTGGTTGGCCGTCCATTTTTCCGAATCGCAATCGCAGTCGCAACCAATTATATGGCGTCTGTATTGTCACGTGATGCTTGTAAATGGTTTGAAACTGAAGCAGATACACGTAGTAAATATACACAATGTCAAAACAATTTAATAAAGAGCTAGATTACCGCTTAATTGACTTTGTGGAATCCAAACCCCTTCTTTGGGATTGCACGAGTGATATTTACAAACGAAGTGACTTAAAAAACGCATCATGGGACGATATAGCCAAGCAATTGGGTCCAAATTTCACAGGTACGTCTCACAATGAGAGGAAATAAATAGTACTAATTTATATCAATTATTTACAGTTTATTAATTCCTTAAACATTTAAAATTAAAAAATTACAATTAAAATAAAAGTTAAAATTTGAGGTTATATAGGTTAAAATATTTAATTAGAGAGAGAGAGAGAGAGAGAGAGAGAGATTAAAGTATTTATTAAGTTTTTTATTGATATTGTTACAGGTCTTATGGTGTCACAGCGTTTCAAAAATATAAAAGATACATTTTTAAGAAATTTAAAAACTATGAAAGAGTCAAAGCGTAGTGGAACTGGCACAGATAACATATATAAGCCCAAGTGGCATATGTTTGAGAGATTAATGTTTCTCAAAAAAACTTGTGCTCAGGCAAATTCAGTTTCAAATATTCCCTCTATGCAATTAGATGCTGTAACATCGAACTCAATAGTCAACTCTTTACAATCTTGTGATATAGTGGTGGAAGATTCTATATCTAATGATATATCTTCTTATAATATTTATTATGACGAAGCATCACAGGTAAGTCATTTAAGAATCACTTTCATTGTAATTAGCTTTCTTTTACGTTCTTTTTTTTTACATTCGATGAATGAATATTTCTATCTTAGAAAATAAGAGTGTGGAAATTAATTGTCTATAATATTTTTCAGGCAATATCTCAGAGCTCACATAGTGACTTTGAAGGAGTAAGTGCAATTACAAATACATCACTTGAGATGGGTCCGCCACCTAAATTTCCTTCAGAATCTGTTACTACACCTTGTTGCATTACTATGCAACTACATTAAGAAAAAGAGGCCCCTCAACAACAAATAGAGAATGTCAATGCAACTACCAGAAAGCGACCATCAGAAAATCAATTATTCTCTAAAAGAGGATCAAAACAGAAAACGCCAAGTACATTAATGACAGAGGCTGTAGAGGTTCTAAAACAATTTTGTACATCAGATCCACCTTCTTCAGCCTCATCCTCTCAGATCGAAACTGTTACTGATACAGCTCATACCCTGGCACTATTTGTAGAAACCAGGCTTCGTTCATTGCCTTTTGAGATCCGAAAAGAATGTGAAAACGAAATTATGAAAGTGTTAACTAAGTATTAACAAGAGTTTTAAATCTAATTTTTATTTTTTTAAATATTTTTTTTATCAGATAAGTACTAACAAGGGTTCTAAATCACATTATATTTGTGTTTCTTTTTAAATTTTTATATTCGTTATTATGAATGTCTAATTTTGGTGTTACATATTTTGTTCCTACATATATCTAAAGATAAAATAGTATCAACAAATTATTTAATAAAAAATGAAAATTTATTTATGCGCTACGTTATGTTGTAACAAATAAATTTTATTTTACTTAATTGCCGCCGGCAAAACAAGTTTCATTTTATTTAATTATACAGGATGTAACAGAGCGGTCACTTTCTTACACTCTGTATAATTACAAAGGATTCTGTGTGTGCGAATAAACATTTTTGTGGAAACAAATTTGCGCTGTATTCTTAATTTCTTTAAATGAAGATATGTACATACATATACAAGAAAATTAGAATATATGTAAAAAAAAATATTAAAAACTTATTTTAAGTAAACTAAAAAGAGATTACAAACTTTCTAGCCATTTTAGCTGATAAGTTAATTTCAATGATCAATTGCTCTGTCTTGCCATGGTACCGTCCCTACATCAATGAAATATTTACATCATATTTCTCGTAATGCTAAAGCGTGATTAGCATGACGATAGCCTCTTGGATTTTGAAACCCTACTAAACCCTGAATTTGTTCATTTCTCCAGTCACCAGGGAAAATACTTCCTCCTAGCTCATCTTCTGTATCTATATATGATGGTGGTGTGTACATGGCACGGCTAACAACATCAGTCCGAAGCATATTATGTAGACAGCATATAGCTATTATAATATCACAGGCATCATCTGGATCGTATCTCATTGGAGATCTAAAAATTTGAAAACGACTGGCCATGACACCAAATGCATTTTCAGAGTGTCCTCTGGCACGAGAATGTCTACAATCATATCAAAGAAAAAAATTAAATTTCTCTCTCTCTCTCTCTTCTGTACCTTTTTAAGTTTTCTTTCTTAAAAATTATCTTCGCAAGAATATTCAAGAGATTTCGTATTATTCTTTTTTCAAAAATAAAATTCACCTGTAGTTGAAAATTCTTCTCTCTTCTACCAGAACATTGTTCTTTAGGGGGAAAGGTATAAGTACATTTTCAGATAATATAAAACCTTCATCGCCTACGATGACAAATGGAAAATTGTTATCAGTGCCTGGTAGAGGACTTGGTTGAGGAATTTTCAGTTCATTTCTTTCTAACAAGTTCTTGAATGTGCTTTTGTTCCATATTCCTTTATCAGACACTCTTCCATTTGTACCGACATCGATATAAATAAATCTCAGTTGAGCGTCAACGACAGCAAGTAAGACAACACTAAACGTGTCTTTATAATTATAATACAAAGACCCAGACTTCAAGGGTGGATCAATGCGACAATATTTTCCATCTATGACGCCAAGGCAATGTAAAAAATTCCACCTATTTTCAAAGTCGTAAGCCACTACTTTCCATTCCTCTTCAGAATTAGGAATTTTTAGATATAAAGGTTCAAGAATAATTCTTAGAGCATGACATGTATCTTTTATTATATTTGAAATAGTGCTTTGCCCTAGCCTAAAATTCATAGATAGAGATTCCTGAGTTTCACCTATAAAATAAACAAAAATTTTAAATCTTTCAACTTATATATACATCATAAAATATTATAAGGTACAGATATAAAAAAATCTTACCTGTTGCCAAGTGACGCAATGTCACTGATAACCTCTCTGAAGGTGAAATGCTTTCTCTAAGATGTGTGTCACGTTTCTGAATTAAAGGCGTTAGCTTAATAACAAGATTTTCAAACATCTCTGTACTCATTCGAAGGCATCTATGCAAAAAGAAAAATAAGAACTAAAATAGTAAACAAGGTGGTATTTTCACGAAAAAAATAAAAAATGCATGGAAAATAATTTCTAAAAATTATGTTTAGTCTATTTACCTTCGAAATTTATTTGGATCCTCCAACTGCAACTCTAAAAAAAGATTATGATGGCAACCTTTTTTCTTCCTCCTAGCCACCCATGGTTTCACCCAGATTTTTCTGCGAGGAAGAGTTTCGTAATATTCACAAATAGTTATGAACGTTAAAAGTGCACATATCTTCTTTCTTTTTTTCAATCTTTGCAAAATTGTATTCATTGTATTGAAATCCCAGAAAAGACAAACTGAACGTGATGAAAGTGAGCGGCAACCGCAATCACATGATTGAAATATAGCCAATCGCAGTCGTAGTCGCAACCGCGAATCGCTAAAGTGTGATTGAAATACAACCAATCGCAGTCGCAGTCGCAATCGCAGTCGCAGCCGCGAGTCGCTAGTGTGATACGGCTATAATGCGCTATCTTTGTCTATTACCACAAAACCGTATTTACGTTGCCAACATAAATAGCACAACGTGCAAAAATTCTCATACGATATATCAGTATCATGTTTACGTGATCGTTATAAATGTGTTTCAAATTGGTACCATCCTGTTTGAATAGTATTAAAAAATTTGCATTACCACGTATCAGATGTTTCAGTATTTTTGCATACGTCTGACAGAGATAAAAACAATCGATGTTCGTATGTCAAGCCATAGAAAAATATTCTCTAATAGTATTCTGATTATCACAGGCCACATCATCGAATACAAATATTGAATTGGGAAGTGCCTCCTTTGGTGGTATGACGTCACGACTGTTGGAAAATGCGTAGTAGCCGATACCATTTATCGATTCGAGCAGTTCTTCCAAATATCGATATTTCGGTTGAAAGAGAGTTTTCGAATACACGTACACGTTTTCGAAACGTACACCGTGTGGACTTTCTATCAAACTTATCAAAGCGTTCGTTTTCCCACAATTGGACGGTCCACAGATGATGCAACGAATTGTATTCGGTAGTAGAGGGCCGTGTCTACGAATCTCTCCATCGGACATGAGTCGTGTCTTGTGGTCGAGATTCGACACTCCTATCGTTCGTGATTGTCGTACGAATCGCATTTACTCACGTAACGCGCGTGGACAATGTAGCGCGAGTGAGTTTTTCAACACTATTTATATACCCGAGCAAGCGGTCGATTCACACAGTTTACTGTAAAAAGCGGATCGTTGTTGTTATCACAAAAATGTTTTTCTTACTGACAAATAAGCGTGAGATTCTTGATTTTACCGCCGAGCAATTGCAGTACATACCGAAGATTCTTCTTCTACAGGAATTTGAGAATTACGTGGAGATACTGTGGGATCAATTACCTAACCATTTAAAAACGGATCCTGAAGTGAAACGCTGTCGTCCGTGTTTAGAGCATTACAATCGTCCGTGGTAACGAACACACATAGACGGTCCACCACCACTTATCAAAGATTGCGACATACCAGGAGTGTAAGTTGAAGCTTGCCGGTTTTTGTAGTAGGTGTCGCTAGCAGGATGTAGGCATTTCTATGATTTGACATATATACGATTTTGTTCTATGGATATTAACCTCCAAAATACCGAAGTTTCATTCCGTCAAAATAATAGCGCCATAGTCGTTTATATCAATAAATATGTCGAGTTTCGTTCCAAATAAAGAGCATTTGCGGCATTCGTTGCTTTTCTTATTTCATCAAAAGAAAAAAGCAGCTGAAGCACATCGTTTGCTAGTAGAAACTTATGGTGAACATGCTCCAGTGATTAGAACGTGTGAGACATGGTTTCGTAAATTTAAAAGTGGTGATTTCGATTTGAAAGACAATGAACATCCTGGTGCAGCGAAAAGGTTTGAAGACGAGGATTTGCAGGTGTTGTTGGATGAAGACCCAACCCAATCACAACAAAAATTGGTAGAAACACTTAATGTGTCCCGAGTAGCAATTTGCCAACGTTTACAAGCCATGGGAAAGATCCAGAAGTATGGAAAATGGGTGCCACACGCATTGAACGACAGGCAAATGGAAAATCGAAAAACCGTTTGTGAAATGCTGCTTCAACGGTTCGAAAGGAAGTCTTTTTTGCATCGGATTGTCACGGGAGACGAAAAATGGATTTATTATGAGAACCCGAAGCGAAAAAAATCATGGCTTTCACCTGGTGAAGCCGGCCCATCCACTGCAAAGCCCAATCGCTTTGGCCGTAAGACAATGCTCTGTGTTTGGTGGGACCAGGATGGTGTGGTGTACCACGAGCTATTAAAACCTGGTGAAACGGTAAATACGGCTCGCTACCGACAACAAATTATTAATTTGAATTATGCATTGATCGAAAAACGACCGGAATGGGCCCGAAGACATGGCAAAGTTATTTTGCAACATGACAACGCGCCGTCTCATGCCGCTAAACCCGTGAAGGACACATTAAAAACACTTAATTGGGAAATATTATCGCACCCGCCGTACTCTCCAGACCTCGCTCCGTCCGACTTCCACCTTTTCGCATCGATGGGGCACTCACTTGCAGAGCAGCACTTCGCCAATTTTGAAGAAGTCGAAAAATGGCTCGTCGAATGGTTTTCCTCGAAAGAGAAAAAATTTTTTTGGAATGGTATCCATAATTTGCCTAAAAGATGGGCGAAATGTGTAGAATCAAATGGTCAATACTTTGAATAAAAATATTTTGAGATTCCCCTGAAAATTATGTGTTTTCTTTAACGAAAAAACCGGCAAATTTCAACTTACACTCCTGGTATGTCGCCGTCGTATGAGATAAAATAGTGTGGAGAGGAATGATTTCTGGTACGGGTTTACTCAACAAGACAATAAACGCGCTTCCGTTTGAAGTACATATACCTGGTTATCAATCTTGTGGACCCGGTACTCTTCTCGTGAAAAGACTAGCGCGTGGTGATCGAGGTATAAATCGATTAGACGCGGCGTGTCGCGAACATGATATCGTCTATTCGTAAAGTAACGATCTCGCCGATCGTCACATTGCCGATCGAGTTCTCGCCGAAAGAGCACGCGAACGTATAACAGCGAGTGATTCAACGTTTGGTGAGAAAGCTGCCGCAACCGCTGTATGGGCAGCCATGAAAGCAAAAACGAAATTAGGGATGGATATGAAAAGAAGAAAGAGAACGAAAAGGAAGAGAAGTAGTAATACTGTAGCGGTTCTAACTCAGGTCCTCCGAGGGGAGTGTGGGGCGCGGGGGGTACTTGATGGCGCGCGGGGAAGGCGCAGGGGGTACTCGTAGGCGCGAAACAGGAGGGGGGGAGGCGCTGGAAGGACCCGGCGTTATCG